AAAATGCTTAAAATTTTTTTTTTTTTTTTTTCCAAAAAGTGTTTTTTTTTTTTTTTTTTTTTTTGGTGGGCAAAGAACGGTCGTGATTTTTGTAGCCAGAAATACTTATGGCAAAAAAATTACTTTGACTATTATTTTAGGAAGGTGACAGTCATTGAATATACCATGCACATCAACCACTTCAGATTGATGATATACAGCTCCACAATATTTCAATTTGGCCATCAACCTCAATCTAATTCATTTTTATAACACTATCACTTTAGTGAAATCTAATACAACCAATCAAATTCAGGCTTTTTCACATAAGATTTTGCAGATTTTCTCACAGAGCAGAAACCTGAAAACAATATTCACCCTGATCTGTTACACATCTAAAAAGTATAGCAAAAAACAAAACAGACAAAAAGACTGAATGTACTAATTATTGTGTAAAAGCTTTTTGAGTTCTCAATATGACTAGAAATTCAGTGTACAACGATTGCAGTTTTCTAGCCAATTACCAATCTTTTAAAATCGTGAATCGTGGTTTTCTAAAAGTCTCTAAATAAAGTGAAAAAGTTACTAAGTTGGCAACAGTGGGAGACTATTGGTGACAGCACACGTGCAGACATGACCTGGTGGGCGGTTCTGTCAGTCAGTCCTCTGTCTCTGTAGAGCCAAAGAGGATATGAATGAATGATGGATGGATCTATATATATCTAAATATGTACCTATACACACATATGTACACATATGTATACATATTCATACATGTATACATATACACATATATACATGTACACATACGACATGTTCTCTGGAACCTCCTTTAAGTGACTAAACCACAGGAATGAAACATTTCAGCCATTTTAAAATTGTAACTTTTTAAAAGCTTTTTTATTTTCGTACCCGTAACTGGTTAACACATAACCACTTGATAATTTCATTGGCTCTTCATTTTAACATCTTTTAAATATTTTTTTTAAATTATTTTTTAAATCAAACGTAAGTTCAGTTGTCAAATCTGTTGCAGTCCAGGGAAAGGAGCTGGGAACAATCCGGTTCTATGTGATCGTCTTTCCTGATGATGTGGATTCCTAAAGGCAAAAAGCTAATAAAGTGAGTACATATAAATGGGAATCACCTGTTTAAACAACCGAGCACCCACCGTGCCACCTTTGATACAACACTGTACGTCTCCTGAAAAGAGAGAAAGTGTGTGTGTGTGTGTGTGTATGTGTGCGTGTGTGTGTATGGTGGTTAACACAGGCAGTAGCAACAAGTCTGCTGACTTTGTGGCTTCACTTTGAATGTGCGCCCAGCTCTGAGCCTTTTGCGAGCTGCAACAGGAACAGCAGCTCATCTCTCCTGTCAACACAGCTTGTGTTTGCCAGGAATCTCTTTAGCTGCACTACTTAAATGTCTGTGTGCACTGAGTAAAGAGAGTGATGCTGCTTTTTTTTTTTCCTTTATTCTAGGAAGGAGAGAAACTCATGACAACACACACCCGTAAGCTCTACAGAGTAATGACCCAACGTACACAGACAAATATCACAGGGCGGAAATCTTTTTGAAGACTTAAAAGCGAAGGTACAGGTGGTTTTCAGAATTATGGGAACATTTAGAATAGAATGATTCAGTGTTGTTAGCAGGGAGGGAGATTGTATAAAAAAATCTAAAATAAAAGCAGTGTTATGAGAAATGTTTTGGGGAAAAAGGTGCAGGTTGTTAATTCTTAAATAAAGACACAAGATTAAGGTGAAGTAAACGTAGTTCTGGAGGGGAAATGTACCCTCTCCCCTGCCACCGGGTGTTTTTAGGGTCTTGAAACATTGGGGCCCAAATGTCTTCTTCCTTCTGTTCCCTCTTAAAAAAATGGTCTTTCAAGACTGTCCATCCATATTTCAAACTACAGTACCATTGTTGTATTTTGTTTGTTTGATCATTCTATTAGGTATGTTATATAAAATTTAATTACATATGGGTTATGTAAAAAACAAGTGCAGTCACAGCAAATTTCTTGTCAGCAAGGCAACAGAACATTTATAGATGAAAACATACCACTGCTTTATTAATTTGTTAAAGTCAGCAGAACATACTATGAGAACCGTATTTTCCAGACTATAAGGCGCACCGGATTATAAGACACATGCTAAAACATACGGTCAACAACAACAACAACAAAAAAAAAAAAAGGTAACAGAAACAAAACAGTAAGTTTAGTTGAACTTTATTCGTAACAATACACTCATGTTATTTTTTATCCTCTTCTGTGTCTGAATTGGGCAGCCGGGCAATTTCGCCATCAAACATGCCAGGTTCCCTCTCATCATTGTCAAAGTCAGTCTCGTTGCCAGGTGGCTATTCAGCAACGATGCCGGCTTTCGCGAAAGCTTGGACTACAGTTAAGGCAGATACATTAGCCCAGACATCCACAATACATTCACACATGGTGGCGTAACTCGCCTGGCGCTGCCTCCCCGTCTTGGTAAACGTGTGTTCACAGTCCGTCATCCATCGCTACCACGCCGCTCGCAACTTCTTTTTGAACGGCATGTTTACACCAATGTCCGGCAGTCGGAGTTCTTTTGTTAATCCTCCCGGAACGACGACAAACTCCAAATCAGTTTGCTTCACTTCCTTTTTCACAGTAGCAGTGAGATGGGCGCGCATGGAGTCGCAATGGTGATGCATGGAAAAACCTATCCGGTTTTTACCGGAGGCGTATGCTGCAGAACTCGGACAACAATTCTCCGATTGGTTTATCGCTGCCAGCATACGTACTGTACACTTTACGTCTCTGTCAGGGACAGATTTTGGAATTCAGTGCACACATAAGGTGCACCGGATTATAAGGCGCACTGCTGATTTTTGAGAAAATTTAAGGTTTTTAGGTGTGCCTTATAGTCTGGAAAATACGTTATTTGCTTCTTTTACATAAGAGATTAGGGGTGCACAGATTTATTGGCCAGCTGATGTATTGGTGCAGATTTCCTTAATTTTGGGAGATTGGTGATTGGCCTATACTTACATGAGAAGCCGATCTTATTCACTGTTTTCATCTACTTCAGCAAAGGTCTAAAAATCACCCACTGTCCTCTTCTGCTCTGCTGAAAGAGAGGTTTTGACTGATTGAACCACCCATGCACTGTTGCAGTTAACAACAGTCATCTCACTGTTACCAACTCGGCAACTTTCTTGCCATTTTTAGTGACATTTCAGACAAAAAAAAAATGGTATTGTCCAATATTGGCATTGGCAGGTCAGGATTTTTAAAGATCGGTGATCAGCGATCAACCAGAAAACTGCAGTCAGCTCAGCCCTACAAGAGACAATTTAAAATTGTGACCAAGGCTTCTCTGTTTTTGCTACCGACAGACGACTCTGTACTGTGTTAATGGAACTGCTGTGTTCAGGTATAAAGAGACATCTGCTCCACCGAGGGAAGTAAAAATACCAGATGGAAGGTTGATTGCAGTCAAAACACCATTTGAGCTCGATTGGTGCCAGAATTCAATGCCCTCGCAGTAGCTGCAACACTTTTGGGTGGTGAAAACAAACTCAGCTGAGTATAAAATCGTAAATGGTTTGTACTTGCATAATGCTTTATCAAGTCCAGAGGAACCCAAAGTGCTTCACACTACATTCAGTGAATCAATCAATCACATTCTGATGGTGGCAAGCTACTGGATGGTAGCCACAGATCGTTCATGGCCACAAAATACAAATTTTTTCAAACAACATTGCATTAGAAAAAATATATAAACACTTTAATTACTACACTCTGCCTTCTAGTAATGCCAGTTGTCATGTCAAAAAATAGTGACCATTCATCACAAACTCCCCTTTAACATGAAATACACATTACACTCAAATGCATTCCAAGACTGCGTTTCCACTTCAGCCTGAAGTGACCCAAATATGATTTTCTTTTGCTCTTTTCATGACAGTCTGAACAACACAGATCAGATTTTTATGTGACCCAAGCCACTTGGACATGTGTTTTAAATCTAATACATATACAAACTTTTCAAATGTGACCTGAGTCTGTACGGCCAGGATGGATTCATCCAACCTGAATATAACTGATACGCGACAAATGTTTACTATTCTGCATCCTGATATGTGCAAATGGGAAGAAAAACAAACATGGCGAACCATAATGAGGATTAAGTTGTTAATGTGTTGGACAACTTTAAAAACCTAAGATAAGCTCCTCCCCTCCGTTAGCATCCGTGTTTACTTATGCAAACACTGAGCATTTCTTTTTTAGACAAGTTTCTTTATTTTTCCAACTCAGAATTCACAAAAAAATAATAAAAAAATAAACAAAACAAACAAACAAAAAAAAAAACAATCAGAATTGAGCATTAAAGCCTGCAGTGTGAATGTAGCCTAAGTTACAATACAAGATCCCCCCAACAAAATTTAAAATGACTGGACAATTTTAGCACATTTACAGTACATATTGACCACTGCCTCAGGACGTTTCTGTTGATAAATGATCAGCCGTGTTCTCGAATCGATGCTACAGAATCTCTATGGTGACAGACACTGCAGGAGCAATATTCAATAAACCGGTTGGCGCACATACTGCCACCTATTGGTCGTTCCATGTAACTGTTTGCAGAAGAATAGTTTAATTTACCCATTTTCTTCAAGTCTTACCTGTTTATTTTTTATCTGTGACATATGTATGACTTACCATTGATAATTCCAGTCAGTTAAACATGTCGTACTGTGAAAGGATCTTTTTTTGTACTTAGTTGATCTGACACTGGTTGAATGAACACTGACAATCTCCTATGATCTCAATAACTCCACACGCACAGGCAACAGTGTGTTTTTACCTCATCACTCTTCTATTCCTCACCTTATTTTTGACAATCTTGTACTTTCTCCCTTTTTTCATCTTCATCACTATCTTTGCACTCTGAACATAAGAAAATGTAATTATTGAATTTCATATAAAGTAGAAAACAAGCTAATAACCAAAACATAACAGTACACTACCAGTGAGTGAATAACTGCATTTAAGAACATTTAACTATTGGATTACACAACGAAGTGGAAACATGTGAACTCTCCTGACATGACAATCATTTTGTGGCCTCATCTCAGATCACCTGGCAACTTCCTCACCTGCATCCATTTTTTTGCCCTGTCACTTCTAGACTTCCGTCTTCCTCTGTGTTCTAACTAAAAAACAAACAAAGAAAAATCAAAATATTGCTCTACATATGACAATGAAAATTCAGCTCAGAAAATTGAGCTGAATGTGACAAATTGCATGAATTAAAGTTAATTTAGAATCACATTATGCTCAATATTTCTATTAATTGATATAACATGCCTCCATTGTATATGAAAATATGACTAAAAACTATTACAGGTAGTAAATGTCCCTGTCATTTCTAATGACTAGTTCATTTTCATAACCTGACAAATGATACATGACGATAAATCTCAGGTAAAATGGTTTTGGTCGTACAGTGTGCGGTGTCTGGCCAGACAACAGGAGCAACACACCACACACACTGATTCCACTCAGCAGCACTCAGATTCCAGACGGAAACTCCCTCTAAAGCCCTGCGATACGATATGAGACTTTAGAGTAAAGAAACATGGCAGACAATTTAGAGGAAATGGAGAGAGTTTGGTGAATTCTCTTAAGTGATAAAAAATGTTGGATAAAGGAGTGGAGAAAACACGAGAAGGGGAGTAGGAGTATCTGGCTAGAGTCCTAGCCTCTCCACTGATGCATGTTCTATATGAGGGATTTCTTTAAAATGCCAAGTGCCAATGAGGGATGGGAATCTTAGGCACTTGGTAAAAGTGCCAAATTCGCCAGGCCAAGGAGCAATCAACTTTAACCTTTTCTGAATTAAGGTGATACTTAAGCATCGCTAGTTTGATGAGTTATCGCTGTACTTCCATCTCTGGGTCGAAACGTACAACATAGAGCCTCACCTTTATTCTATTGCAGATTTCCTTTCGATTTCACATATACCTGTCAGTTTGTATAGCTTTATTCTAGTAATCAATTGTTAAAATACTTTAGAAAAATAACGACTTATAGGATATCCTAATGTTTTTTCCATATCTGTATATCACCAAGGTGTGTGAAGTGATGCATTTATTCCTGATTAAATTGAAAAGAAAGCCATGAGGATAAACCCACATTGAGGTTTTATTACCCACAAGAATGTGACACCAACATAGTTTTCTGCTTAGAACGTTAAACCTAGATTTAATGAGTGTCATCTGTAGAAAGATTGTAAGAACATTTAGCTCTCCAGCTTGACAACTACAAGTCAAGAATTTAGAACAAAGAAAACATCTTTGTATGAACAAATAATGAATCCCAAGGTTTACAGCTTCAGTTCAGCAAATTAATTCAAGGAGATTGACTCATCTAGAAAGGAAAGGCTGGATTCCACATTAACACTCCTATCTGTGTGAAAGCATATACCAAAAAAGGCAACAAACAATCTCAAGTAAGGTGATTCGTTAGCATCGCTAGCTTGATTAGTTGCATTGCTGTAATTAAAGCATGCTGCACACCATGAGCGCGGCATTACGGAACTTCAAATTGTCACTTTCCTAATAAGTCTTTTTTTTTTTTTTGTGCCTAAAATTGTCTTTTGGCAACAAAGAGGTGGTGTTTTGCTAAAAATCCCTTTTGACAAATCATAGGCTACTTTTTGAGGAAGGTGAGAAAATGTGAGCATTGGTCAAATGCAGTCATCCAATGATGCCAACAATGGCACAGTCTAACATAAACAAATAAACCACTTGCTACAGTAAAATGAATTAACTATACCATAAAATGTTCACCAAGTGGAATTTATGTTCTGTTCAGGAGCACTGAAGCTCTCTTAGCAGGTTTGAAAAGGCTCACTGTTATCCGTGTAAAATTATTGGAAATAAAGGGATTGCCGGAGGATTTACAGGATAAAGCTGTTTACAAGTTTTGCAATATCTAAAGATGGGTCCTTTTAATTATCCTTATTCATTTTCATTTAACGGTGACAGTCATAGGATCCATTAACATTGGTGGGGTCTTCAAAGAGGAAAAGTTACACAAATAAAGATAGTTTGTATAAGCCAGAAACCTGTGAGCATGTCATTACTGTGTTTGCCAAACTGTATCTAATAACACTCGAGTTCCTCTATAGCAGTGTTGTCATCAAGAGCTGTAGCTTTGTAAAGGCCAAGCGTACCTGCCATGCAATCTCAAAGCTAGAGGACAATCAAAGCTTCAGAAACCATCAAATAAAGACTTTAAAGCAAAGGATTAGTGGAGACAATAGTTTGGGTGAGGTAAAAATCCTACAAGGAGAAGTGAAACCAGCAACCAAACCAAAGGAAACAGTGATCCAGCCTGAATGGAAGAGTGACGAGGGGGAAAAAAATGTAAAAGAAAATGTCAAAAGTTACAACGTTGGTGAAGTTCCTAAATTAGGCTGGGCATGCCCATTATCCCTTGCATCCTTTTCCTGTCGCATAAAATTAAATACATGCTTTCCAAAACAGACGTAAAATGTCTAAATAAGTAAACTGTACAATTTCTAGCCTTGCTTTTACAGCTTAAAACGTAGTTAGGTTTCACTGCGGCTTAAATTTCTTTGTGGCGCAAGCCAATGAAACCCGACTCCCGTTTTAACAAAAATGTTCCTCCGTGTCAAATGAAACAGATAGCTCAATATATGGCTCCTCTGGGGCTGAGGGAAAATTACAGCAGCCATGAACGGGGCTGAAACACTGTAGATAAGGGAGGGAGGCTTTCCTTCACATATGCTGGTTCCTACAGGTGGTTTTAAAGCCTTACTCTGTAAACAGACTTCGAGGAGGGGAGCTTAACAGTCTTCAAACCAGGCACGGTATGTGTTCGCTTTTAAAGTTATGGCCTAATTTTGAAAATTGTCCACAATAATTAGATAATACATCTGGAGAGGCAGATGTGCTCACATCCTAGACAACTATCAAACTGTTTGGCTCTAACTGGGTTCTTCAATCCTGTAAACAACTGGGTGAGGATGTGGTTGTGTTGGCTTTTTATGAAGTGGATGACTTAAATGAGGAGGACTGAATTCCGGAAGGCCGACTTGAAGCAATTTAAAAACCAAAACAGCAGCAAAGAACTTAGAACAATCCCAATTAAGGTTGTCTGGAGGTCTTTAGGGGTGAGTACGCAGAGAGCATTTGGATTTACAAGGTGCAGTTTTTCACCACATATGAGCTCCAAAGAAGAGAAATCATTACAGAGAGATCATTTGAAAGGGCAAACAGTAAGGTGTTAAAAGGTCAGGTGCACAGCAGGAGGGATTACAGTTGGTGAAATCAAGAGCGATGAAATTCCAAGCATCTTTGGTCTTTTGTTCGCCTGGAATCTGAAACACTCACCAATTTGTCTCTAGTGTCTTTTGACACATACCATGACCTCTGACTCCACAGAGGTCACAGTGCTTTCCCAGTTCCTGCCTCTCTCTGGGTTATCCGGTGTGTGAAACCCACTCCCATGACAGCGAGCGTAAAAACACAGCAAACACTTCACAACATTGTTACCCTGAGGACCTCTGTGTGCAGCATGGCTTTCTGGGAAATGAGTAAAAATCAATTCCCATTTGTGGCTCAAATCTTTTTTGTTGCGTGGTCGTTTAACCGTTGTAAGCTGCCCATATTTTGGTTATATGGCCACTGTTGTAATTAAACAAAAAAATGTTTTATATTACAATACAAAAAAGATGTTAACTTCACTTCAACTATATCATGAAACAGAACATATGGTTTTCAATTTAAAATTTGAAAAAAAAAACATTTTAAGAGAAAAAAAAAATACCGCTCATTCGTGCTTGGTACATGACAAAAATATCCAAATTTAAAAACAAAATTTCTATTTCCTATACAAGTAAACATTTACATTTGTCTTTAAATTTCCCTGTAAGACTTTATGATTATAACATTTTATCCTTTTTTTTCCCTCATTTTATTAGAAATTTTAACCAAGAAGAGCACAAATGGGCATCATGTCAGCCAAGGTGTGTGTGTTGAACACTGCATCAATGTTTCAACTTCATCCAGAAAGCCAGCTGCAGTAAGACGAGATTCACACATAAAAAAATCTTTGTGCTTTTTATTGGCTCAAAGATTTTGTATTAACTTCCATTGTTTTTAGCTGCTGCCTTAACCCAGACATTTTCCATAACCTGGACCTTTACAAGTATATCCCTAACTCAAACCTTAACAAAAACTTAATTCACACCATACCTCTGAACCCAATTAAAGGAGCTCAGTACAACTGAAGAAATTGAATACTAGGAAAATCTCCTGTCTAAAAATGATCTCCCTTTATTGGTAAAAATGGCTATAATTGTTCTCTAATAAGTTACACACACAGCCAAAACTTCTTTCAATATTTCGTATCTACAATTTTAAGCAATTATGTCCAGATTTATCTGCCTATTCTGGTGCAGAATTATGACTCATGTCAATGATGTAAAAGTCAAAATGACAAATTGTGGGAGTAGCCCAATGGTTTTGTTATTTCTGCAAAGCACACAATCCAGTTCGACCACCTGGTGTAACTCCATCATGATGTGTAAAATGTTGATCCTAAAACCATCAGCACGAACTGTACCTGGTGTACCTTGTGAAATTTAAGCTCACTACAAACGCCAAGAGTTTTATTTTTAAAAGTGGTTAGTCAGCTGTTTTGTGCTAAAAATTTTGTTTACAAGTATGTAAATATTTACGACTGCATGTATCCATGTTTTTTGGAGATGCTTACCAGATGTTTATTCTTAAAAAGATCTGCCTAGTCACCTACACTGCGTCTCGGTGACAAGAGTTATAGTCAACGTTTTGGATCAGAAATGTCAGGATTATTAATTTTAAAAATCTGGATAGTACACCAGAGGTTTATGACTGTAATATTTAAGAAAACAAAAGTTCATCAAGAAATTTGTGATGCTTTGTTCAACTTTTCAGTAATTCCTTCTAAACTCTCTTTACAACACTGCCAAGGAAATGTTTTTACAATCCTGGTCCTTTTATAACATTTAGCTACCTCTGAGGAGGAACCCCTGCCTTTATTTCTATTAAAGGAGAAGTGCTCTCTTCTTCAAATTGTCTGCATCCATCATTCATCTTTCGGCCCCGGAGTGAGCAGGGAAAGCTCCTGTAAACAAACAGCAGGGAGAGAACACTGACCCTCCACCTTCAAACTCCGTGTTTACAACCAGCTGTATATCCTTCGCTGGTTCTGTTTAAGAATAACCCCGCATATACAAACAGCTGTGGTTGCAAGTGCATTAACTGCCTGTGAGAATTCAAGGCAAAAACAAAAAAAAAACAAAACTGAAATTAAGACACTGAGAAAAAAAAAAGTTTCAGTATCAACGGGTGTGGAGATGGTGTTTGAGGACATGTGTAAACAGCATCCAATGGCACAATCAGGCAGGCTGTTGCAAACGTCGGGTTAGACTTTGGAGGAGTGACGAAGCTGAGTCGTAGAATGATTACTGAGCGCCGCGGTAATGAGGGATTCAGGAAGCCTTTAGATGCCACACCACTGATTATGTACGCAGTCCACAACAGAGCTGGATGCTGATCGGATCCAAACCGGGACTCATCCTGAAAATTTTCTCCCCCAGTTTGCAGGTTTGTGAATGAAAGAGCTGGTGGGAGCTTACATATGTTTGTTTGGCAGAGTATACAGAACACTAAATGGCAGATTGGGAAATTGTCCCTCTTAACTGGACTCAGCTCAGACTTCCAACCCTGCACTCCAGGAATGTAAAAAGCCATAACAGTGCAGAAAAGTCAAGTCCCAGTGGCTGCCTGAGTCACTTCAGACAGCACGACTTTGCAACCCAAAGCTTCCACAGATGGAAATATTAATATTGGCTCGAACCAGTAAAATAGGAAATCCTCTCCATTGTAAAACAAGTGAAGGAGTTCTAGCATCCCTTCCAACTGTAAATGTACAGGTTACAAAAATAAAAACTTCCAACTACACCGATTAGAGATGGACAACTGTCCACAAGGACACTGTGTTTCCCCTCAGGATCTACATAATGGAAAAACAAGGAGAGAAGCTTGCTGTGACTTGATGAGGATTTCCTGCTCTGTATCCTAAACTTCAGCCTACTGTTTAATATTTAATGAAAGAAAGAAGCACAAAAATAAAGTAAATAAAGTATTTACGAGTCATTATTATTGGAACGTTTCCCAGAAGAAACCTTTAGACAGATAACTACCTCTTTATATTTCCACTGCACTTTGATTTGATGATTCTAAGTCAGCTACAATGAAGACAGGATACAGCAGCACCTTTCATGTTTTTGCCAAGACCGAAAATCCATAGATAAACACTGTGTCGCCATGGAAACACAATCATTTCTGCCTTAGTTGCAGCATTTTTACAGATTCCTGGGTGAATATGTTCATGCTACTGCAAAACATGTAAACAGAAGGTCTGATCTGTTTTTATTTGACTTGAAAAATGATTAGTGCTTCTGCAATAATCATTTTTATGATTATTGCATAAAAATAATTATTTTTATGCAACATTTTTTGTCTCTGGAGAGACAAAAAAATGTTCTCCCCAGAGATTTGGTACTTTGGCTGACTTTTAAGATTGATCAAATCCAAACTAGAACTGGCTAAAAACTGGCATTGTGACAATTTACTTTTCCCATAATGCATTTTTTAAGAGTCAGGACTTTAATGCCTTAATTTTGATTAATTAATTAGATGAAATGTAACAATTAAATTTTTTTGAACAGAATTAGTTGTATTTTCTTTCCACAAACAAAAAGGTTCTGGCTAGGCGAGTTGAATTCACTAGTTTTCGGTAAATCTGACACACGTGAACAACAATGGACAATAAAGCCACTTCTCTTGGCCCAATCAGGGTTAATTTTTGCTTCAATATCAATCTGATGGGACGATGGAAAAGACTACTGTTGTGTTGAAGTTGTGCTAAAAGGAGTTAGCATATCAGTGAAACCATTCAAGCCTAAAATAGCATCTCAATGCTAAACATGAAGCAGCAGCACAGCATTTTGATTTGCTAACGCTAATGTCAGTATCCACAGTTCACATTTCTAAAGAAGTTCCATCAATGAGCCGGACTTTCTGAAACACTGGAAAACTGGTTGTGGAACTTATACGAGTATTTATCCAGAAATGACAAATATCAAAACATATTCGGTTACAAAGAAATTAAAAGTTTTAAATTTTGAACTAAGTTAACTGCAGGGTGTGTACTTAATGAAATTTTAATCAAAAAACATATATTGACAAAAAGAGCAAATTCAACAACTCTTTCCTTCAGAATTATTTCAGAAGGTCAAGTTGTGTTTTAGTTTTCATAGATGGTTGAAATGCAATACTTGTATATATTTATTATAAACTGAGCCACTTTTCAAAGGTACTTCTAATAAATACAGATATATTTATTTTAAGGGAATGGAGCTATTTTAAAACATGATTCAACAAAAAGGAATCGGGAAAAAATTTATGGTCACAGCCATTAAATTTTTTCTTTGTTTTTATAACCCAATGAGTAATTGTTTTAATAATCCTGATTCCAATGCTGATCAGACTAATGGTGATTATAATTTCTACCATAATGAATCATCCACACACTGATGACAGACCTTGAAGTATAAACTGTGGTGCAATAGTTGAGTCTGTCCCAAGACAAACAAAACAGACCTTTTTCTAGTCAAATCAAAAAGGTAAATTGGTTATTCACTTCCAACTGTACAAGAATGACACCTTCATCTTGACTTAAAGAGAAAACATTTGCTTAAGGATTTTCTTTTTCCTTTTTTTTTTTTTTTTGCAGACTGCCCCTGATTATTAACCCACCAGAGACATTCTTCCTTCCTCTGCAGTTCAAAGGAGATTGAGGCTGACGCCAGAGGCCAGATCAATTATCCGGAGCAGCCATTTCCACTGCCCTCTCCCACTGACAAGCCAGAAAATCTGGGCCCTATCAAAGGCTGGAGAGGCCATCAGCCAGCCAAGTAAGCCATTTTCCACCAATTCGCTTACCTTCAACTTATTTGCTTTTTCCCAGCTATTATCCTCTCTATCTTTACCTTTCTCCTGTCCTTTAATCCAGAGTCACACTATTATGCAGACTGGCTTTTTCTTTGATGTCCATCCAATAAGAATGTTATTCATTTCTGGTTTTAACCTCTTTTTTCTTATTCATTCTCATTTTGTTTTAGTCAGAGAAATCAGCTGGTCTATCTGTGAAAGTCCCAGCTGTGTGGATTTCTTTTCCAACTTTTTGCTTTCTGATTAGAAAGAACAATCCTACTTTAAAAAATTCCGGTCAATTAAATCCAGGTCAGAGAAATTTAACTCCTCTTGTAGTTAAATTTCAACCGTTCCTCTAAGCTACCAAATGTGCAAAAGTGGTTAATTGAGCAGTAAGTCTGCAGTGGGAAACTTTACTAGTAACTGACTGAAATAGACATTTATGATTGTAGGTTTTTGTCTCTTCTGTGTTTTTTGTTGCACCATCACAACTAAAAATTAAATTAATTGAAAAGTACGCAATAATGTACATGCAAACTTGCATGTATTCATTGCTTGTAATGAATAGATAACAGGATAAAATGCATAACAGCTTTATTTTTGGTGAAAACCTTCAGTACAGGAGCTGTTGTAGGTTTTTCCTCAGTAAAGTCTTTTTTCTTGGGTGCTGAGTGGACTTAATGTGATCTGACTCAATAGAGCTAGAGCATCAGCAATCCACAACGGTAAAGAAAAAATAGGATTATTTATCACAATATAAAGAACCCAATGTGTCCTAAGAATATATGTGCTCAACACAATTTACAGTGATAAAATCCAGCCAGTTTGCTCTCAGTTATGTGACATGAAAGTCTTTGGAATTAAACTGAGGGGTTAATGCTTATAAAGCATTCCAGCTCCCCACAGTCATAAAGAGAAGGACATCAGCATTTCACTTCAGTGCCGTGCCATCAATTCTCATCTTCACTCAACACTCTTCAATCAAAGAACTCGGTTGGTGAAATGGACCAGAAAACTGAAGATTTATACAGTTTTATGAACACCGACGTCATGTTTTCTTTGTTTATATATCCACAACCAATTAAAGCATAAGACCATTATGAATGGAATCCAAGACCCATATCTCCACAGAAATGTACAAACTCCGTCTGGCCAACTGCCAAAAATTTCGCACTTACCCATAACAGATGCAAAAAAGCTAGCTAACTAGCTAGGGTATGTTAGTATTGAGTTACTGGTAACCTCAAGTGACTCAGGTCACAAAACGCAATGAAGATGTCTGAGGGCGACTCAAATCTTTGCATGACAAGAAAGTCCAGAGAGTGAAAAAAAATATTAAGAAAAGATTAAAAAGTTCTTTAAGACTTGTGATTAACATATTAAAGGCCAACTTACTTTTTTAATTTAAGATTTTTTTTTTAAGACTTTTTAAAGGATTTGTGGACACACTTACTTAATATATGTCTACATATCTGTTTTTTTCCTAAGCTCAAAAAAAGATTCAAAGCAGCACAGCATTTGGCATTTTAGTTCAAGAAGAACATGGTGTTCTGCTTACCAGTTTTTCCTTGAAGACCATGTTTTTCAGCCACTTAAAATCAATTGGTTTAAATGCAGAAAAGACGAAGAGTGAGTCGCCTTCATACTGTTCAGATTTCTGGATTGCTCCCTCTGGGTAGGTAATCCTCAATGTGGTTTTGGTCCCTACATCTCTTTTGTAATCAGCTATTGGGGCTCCATTTAACCTGTCAACAAAAGCAGAGCATGAGTGAGTCCAATATGCATTAACTCTTTATTTACAGCTCAACTATTTACTAGTAAGGGAATCTGGACACTGTTGAATGTTACTCTCAAGACGTCCAAGACAACAACCTGTCTTACTGAATTAATAAACTCAAATTCTGAGCGTTATGTGAGGAGAACTCCAAGTCTGAGTTAGATGGTGTCAGAAAAACTCACATTACCACAGATACCCACAGTAGAAATTAGGGGTACACCGATTGCAGTTTGGCTGGTCACGATTTTGTAAAAAGTCTGACCTGTCTGATTTTATTTTATATACTTCAGAAGTGACCTGGTGGGCAGGTCTGAGCAAAAGGGAACAGTGGCTCTGATTATCAGACATTTATGGAGGGAGATGAGATCAGTGGATAAGATTGTTAAGTATTGGCCGATCACCCAGAACTAAGGAAATCTGAGCCTATTCATTGGTGCATGTGCTAAATTTATGACAGTTCATTAAGTTTTACACAGAATATCACACATTTAGAAGAAAAGCTGTTTAAAAATCTGTGCCTGCTGTTGAGGCTTCATTCAAGTGAAAAGAGAAAGTATAGCTAAACTGAAATATTCTGACTTAATTCAAAATTCTCAAAACTGAGGAAAAATAACTTTTTTAATCACATGACCTTACCACCACATAGGTCAGTCATTCATAGGACTTTTTTTTTCATGAACCAATAGCTTTATACTCCTTGACTCCATATTTTTATGCACAATATTAACAAATATTACCATACTTTCTTCACATGTTTCAAACCAAAATCATAAAATTCTTCCAAAGTCACTAGTTATGCAAAATGCAAACTCAACAAGTTAATAATAATAATTTTATTTGTAAAGTGCTTTGAAACAAAGTGCTGGACTCAATGTATTACACAAATATCTAGTGAATAGAAGCTGGGTGCAAAAAGACAAGGAAGTAAAACTGTATGCAAAAAGAATATAAACTGTTTTGGCAGTCTTATGTTGTGGTGAATTATTGGCTTACTTTTCTTTAAAATGTTTCTTTATGTTGATGTTTACAGACATTTGTTTCTCTCTTTGAAAGTTCAATAATGCAGTTCGTTAAGACTGAAGGCGGGGCTAATGAAGCCATTTGATTGGTGGTTTGCTGCTGTTTGGGAGCATTGTTCTGTTGATGACTGAGCTTTGGAATACAGAGGAGTCTGTGCTTCACTCGGTGACTGTAAAACACCAGAAATGATCACCCATCCACCACTTTGCTTAACCATTGGTAATACATGATTGGACTCTTTTACCTAACTCAGATCTCTCCAAAAAAACATGTTTTATTGCATCCAAACATCTAGACTTGTGTGATGCTGAAGAACAATTAACCTAAACCATCATGTTACGTTATATTAATAAAAATATTTTCGGGAACCCTGAAATAAGTCACATTTGTTCAGTTTTCTAATGATATTAAAGAACTTTAATATTTACTATGCTAGCTGAGGTTTGCACAGTGACATGAGGCTCTTGGGTTTTTGTAAATTTCCTAAGATACAGCTGATCATCAACGGTCTTAACTGTCCAACTTGTGAATACTCTTCAGTGTTTGAAAATGGTCTTTTAGGTCTTTTCACATCACTGGACAGAAACAGTTGTTTCTAGGGGTCCACCAATAAACTGGCCCCAAATTCCTTAAGTTTGGGTGATTGGCAGATACTGACATGTGAAATTGATCTTTTCCACCGGTCTCATCTACCTCCGCAAAGGTCTGAAAGCCAGTCCCTGTTCCCTCTGTCTCTGCAGTGAGAGGGCTGACTGACAGACCCACCCACCCAACAGGTCATGGCTACATCGGTGCGGCTAACAATAGGCAGCCCGATGTTGCCAACTCTGTCATACTGTCGCTATATTTAGCAACATTACAGACAAAAAAACCCCCAAAACACACACACACACAAAATAACACACCTGGACTGGCAGTTCATGCTTTTTGAAGATCGGTTATCGGCCAAAAATCTGTAATAACTGCCCCTAGTTGCTTCTCTTTACACTTTGGTGTGATAACTCACAGCTAAAGCCAGATCACCAGTCTGCAAGACCCCTGCTTTCATAAAAGTGGTCACACTTGCTGATGGTTAATTTAAATATATTTTTATTCAGCAGTTGCTCTAACAAGACCAGTCAAAGTATTGGAGCTAGCTTTCCCAGTCAGTACTTCTGTATTTTTCCTTAATCCTTCAAATACTAATCCCAGCACTCTTATGTTACATCAACCCAACTTTAAGAGCTGTTGAGGGACAAATGACGATTACTGCGGCTGGAAACAAAAAAACTGTGCTAATTTTTTTCTACCCTTGTTAATACATGCTTCGTCTTACCTCACAACAACATCATATTCATCTATACGGGAGCCCAAAGACTTATTGTACAGGATCCCCCCGTTTCCCACTATGATGCATCTTTTACAGCTGAGACTGTTAGGAAAGAAGCAGAAGTCAGTAACTCAGAGAAAAGTCCACACATGATGGTAATGCGGGTACGAGTGAGTACCTGTCGAGGTCCTCGCCGAGTCCAAAACTTTTTGTTTCAGTTAAAATGTTGTCGATTATTCTCTCTGCAAAACAAGGACAGAAAAAGTCAATGACATGGAGACACGGAGAACTTTCCTACACTGCAAAAGAAACATTTTAGGAATTCAAACAAGAACATATGAGCTAAAAATACATTAGGTATGTTTTTATCCAGTTCAGTTTGTATATAAATACATATCTTTGAGAGATAAATGAACCAACTACATTAGTGTTTAACTCCTCAACTCATGCATTGCACATTTAGAGACAAGAAATAAATCTTTTGCTCAGTGCAGTACGTGGAGCATCTTAGTTTAACATAAAAGATAAGCAGATGTTCTAAAATCAAGATGATGAAATGTTTAAAAAGTGTGAAAATGACTCCTTTAACAGATGAGAACATGCCAAGGAGGATCAAAATCATGGCGATATCTCCAACCACATGGTCCTAAAGACTAGAGGAGAGGACATTTCATTCCATTCATCCTGTTACTGGTCCAATCAACAATCAGTAAGGTATAGAAATTCTAAAGAGGAATAAACCTGAACAAAGCACACATGAATGCTTTAGGCTAGAATGTGTGTGTATGTAAGACCTCCCTATAAAAGGGAGGAATGCTGCTTTTAAACAAGAACATTCTCCAGGTTCAGCCTGTGATGGTGAGCTCGTCTCCATGCGAGGCTCTGAGGAAGGAGGATGTTTGGCCATAGCACACATAGCTGTCATGTTCAACAAGACATTCTGCTGGAGTCATGCTTCCAGGATTAGATAGTTATTTAATTCTTCAGGGCCTGTATTTTTAGGGTCGTCTAGTCTACAATTCATCTTCCACAACAATTCAGAGTGCAGATTCCATTACAGATAAACTCAACAGATGCTGTGAAAAGATGCAGATGTTTGTCATCTGGCACACTTCAATGTTTTAGCTCAAAACTATTTAAATGCAACCAGACTAAAATTCCCATAATGCAAAAACAAAAATTGTTTTTGTATGATAATTATATTAAATAAAGTAAAAAGCAATCCACACCAACTTGGCTCTGTGTGAATCGCACTAAAAAAGGTTGATGGAAACAGCAAAATTCAAAATAACTTCTTCAGTTTCGGAAAACAGTTTTCACGTTCAGTTGAGGAGTTTTTTGGCTTTTCCGGAATAGCGTTGATTTGCTAAAGTGGATATAGAAATACATTTGCTGAATAAGTTGTGATGTAGCAAACATTTAACCTCACACAACTGATCAGGTGTTTCTCCGGACATAATGTAACATTGCCAATGCTGGTTGACATTACAGAATAACGCATTCCTGAAAACCTCTCATCATTTTTCTGAGGTGTATGGTCCATGCTGGTTTGCAACCACTTCTACTACTTCCTGTTTTTTTACAGCAATGCCAAACATCGACATCTAACAAAACCCTGTTTTGCACAGCCTGGTTGATTCGCTCCAAAGCAGAACATGGAAATGTGCTTAATCTTAATTTTCTGTTTTTGAGACGTGACAATTGGATGAAAACATAACTACTGATTCAAAGTTAACCAGTGAGTACAGGTCTGAAGGACTCAAAATAATAATAAAAAAGTAAGACTTGAAATGGCCTAGTCAAAAACCAGGCTTAAATTTTGCTCAAAAACCTTACATTGTGGCCAAATGAAAATAATTCTATAAAGAAAGAGTGGAGATTGGTTTGAACAGCATTTTTCCCTTAATGAAATACATCCCTCATATGAAAATTACATCTTAAGCCCACTCTAATAATCTGTCTGGTATTAAAATTGAATCGATAATATAAAATAATATAGTATAAAAAAAAGTTAGTAAAGGCTGGCTACTCATAACAAACTTCCAGTTACTAAAGAAGGCCGACTGATTCAACTTCTGCTCATAATCAATCTATTCTTCCACCCAAAAGACAAAAATTTAAAAAAAAAATTCAAAAAATGTACAATGGATTATTTTTGCACCGCGCATTTCAATGACCCTGAATGACACAGTCTAAAGAGAGGAGCCAAAACAAACAATAGAGGTGGCTGTAAGAGGCAGAGGGAGGAGCCTGAAGGCTGTTTGTAGGACATTACAGCCCCTCCACCACAACCGAAGGTCCTCTTGATTAACCTGCCGAGCCACAGCTTGCTGTTTGGATGTGGTGTCGATGTCTGCTGTCAAGCATCACCCCAAGCAGCATCAACACAAAGAAGAGGACCACACCTGGATCCAGGCGGGCCTAAGAGTGAAAAATCACAGTGGGCCACACTCTGCTCCAGACAACAACATAGAGGCTAATTGTTTTATGTATGAGCTAAACATTTCAGACAAGCATGTCTCAAGATGGAGTCAAAGACGAATGGCTGCTGGTCCAGACGTTGGTCTCAGATTGGGGAAAAAAAAAACAAAAAAAAACTCTTCGACAGTAAAACAGAAGGACTCTAGAAGCTTTAAATAACAGACAGGGTTAGAAAGAGTGTCCTAAACAATATAAAGAAGGTTCCATTGGTTGATGATTGAATGGTGGATAATAATTGCACTGACACAAATGGTAGACTCAACCAAGGCAACTTCACATAGAAACAACAATACTGCTTGGCTGAAAATAAAGACATTTTTTTTCTGTTGGTAAACCATAACCTTGTCATATCCACTAACATTATATCACACTAAAACCGAAATTTTGTAGTTTGACTTTTTTAAATTTCTGAAACCAACTAAATACGTAGGTGCTGTTTGTCTGACTGTTTACATTTTCAACAAGCTGAGTGACACTCACTACTATTTACCTGCAAGGAAACTATTACCAATAATGACTTCACAGAACCTCACATCACAAAATCTGAACTAACCCTTTAAGGTCTTATGAAGTGGCTTTTATGCCAGCGTACTATAATTATTTGTGATAACAACAATGATAAAACGTTCTGTGGTTAATAATATTTGTCAACTTGTTGCTAGCTTTTCAGAATTCATTGTTTACCAGCACTGAAGGCAAGTGATTTCTTATTGCTCTAATACATACTTCCAAAACAATCAGGAATGTTCTGAATTCATTCTTGATTGAACGTTAAAAGCATCAATACTCCAGATGAACAGAGGTAGAACTTCCTTTGTGTCTGAATACATTTTTCTGGAACATCATTTGACTAGGACTGGTCAAATGTGATATACTAAACATGGTAACACTAGTAATATTTTTGTTGCTGACTTTACCCTCAGTGAATAATTTTTAGTCTGTAATACTTTTTTCTATATTTTTAACAGAACTGTCAATTAGGGATGCGCAGCATATCAGCACTAACATGGCATTGGCCAATGTTAGTCATTTTTTCAATATGAGTATTGGTCTGATAAGCAAGACTGGACTGACATCAACAACCCATGTTCATCTCCACCTTGTCGTTCATGTTTCTGGAGCAGGATGGTTGTGTGACCTCTGCTTGGTCATGTGACAGTGATATTGATACAGCATTTTGTTTGCAAAATGGAACGGTTACACTTTTAGATTTTTATAGGAAATTAAAAAAATTAAATTAAAATTAAAAAAAAATTAAGCCTTGCACCACAACAGTTTATCAACATAAAAAAAGTCATGATGCTGGATATTTGGTAAGCGAAACCTTTCCCAAAGGAGGACAAATTTAAAAAATTGGACACATTTTAAAATGAACCTAAATCACTGTAACAGAAAAATCTGTTCTCAGGCTGCGTCGAACGTGTGGCAAAGATACCTCTTGGCACAATAAGTAGTAAAAATAAACTCCCGCCCACCATCACCACTCCATGTTCTCAATTTGGAATCCTTTGTGGCGTTCTATTCAAGATCCACACGTATCATCTCTCCACATGAGTACAACTCAAAGGGAAAAGCCACTGCCATCACAGTCCGTGGAGAAAACAGAAACCAGGTGTAACACTCACACAGGGAGTGCTCTTTTCATAATAGCTGTGTGTAAGAATGTGTGTATTTCAGTGTTCAAGTGACAGCAAAGAACTCGCCTGAGCACAAAGGTAACATTCATGGTGCCTTCTGCAAGGAAGTATTGGAAACATGTGAAAGAGATTAATGTTATCTTCTCAGTTCCCATGGTGGTGTCTACTGGCAAGATATCTGAAGTGGTGCAGTGTATTAAGATCAACGTGCAAAAACGATCTCTTCAGGCTAAAGCATTACAGCTAGGATGTTGGAGAACAGCAAGTTGCCAGCTAAAGTAATTATCCTGAAAATACTGCCTAAAAAAGTTCTGACAAACAGAAGCCTGCTGTGGACTCTGCTGAGGGGAAAAAAGATTAGACATCGACTGATGTAAGAACTGTGTCCGGAAGGAGCCAAAGTGATGTGGCAGTAGTTAACAAGACAAGATGACACCTACACTGTCTGCTACTTAACGACTATGCTCAATGAAGCTTGATAATGATAGCAGAAGTAGGTGCTATGAAATTTTCATGGTATGATAACTTGCAATATAAGCACCATGGTTTGTCAGTAACTAGCTTAAATTTTACAGCTCAAGTGGATAACAGGGTCCCACTGTTTATTTAAAATAGATAGCAACACCAACTGAGTGTTTGCAATGTGACAACACGCTCTTCAGAAAGCGCCTCACTCCACCATGACAGACATCAAAACAACTTATGCGTGTGTTAAAGTTAGTCAAAAAATACACAGCTGGTGACTTAATATTGTCTTTATTATGTTGATTTTAAAGTAAAAATTGCCATAGGATGCTGCTGATTAGCAGCACAGACAAGGAGGCAAACCAAACTTATTTTATTGTAAACCTTCTGATGAGTAAAGAGGACAGATGGAGAGCAGCCCAGCAGCATGCTGTGCACTTGTGGATTTGCAGCAAATGTTTACAAGGCAAGAAGAGTAAGAGAATACTTCATGAGTAAGATTAGCATGATGCTATCAAACACTGCATTATGGAAAAGGTACACATCCAATCATTGGCAACAATGGTAAAGATTCCCCACCACCATGTACAAAAAAAAAACTAGAGTTAAAACTGGGTTTTAGGTTTGTTCTGGTTTAAGGGGAAATGACATTTGTGACGGTGGTTTAAAATCATGTGACATGAATTCAGGCAAAGTCTGTGATTTGGCCAAATCAACAAACATGCCAGGAGGGACGGTATGGGTCGAGTTCTAAGCTAGCAATTTCCAACAAAAACAACATGGAAACACAATCACAGCTCTGTTCAATATTCCCTTGTCTCACTTCCTATATCCGTCAAAAATACTGCAGCTGAAGTATTTTTATTCTTTTATCCTTTTGATACGTTATGTCTTGGAGTATCCATTTCTCTTAAATTATGTAACATTTTACTGCTTTAACAACGAGCATTGGTGTATTTGATTTGAACTTTACACGATAGACCAAGCAGGGTTAGATTATTAAACAATATCCTGAGATTTCACAGAGCTCTGTTTGAGAACAACTGCAAACATTAAGCCGATGGTAATTCTGGAGGAGTTGCAGAGATCCACAGTTCAGGTGGGGGAATGTGTCAACTGAAACGTTACGTACACCATAAATCTGGCAGTGTGGCCATAAAAAGGCATGAGTGAAAAAAGCTGTAAGAAGGTCTTTTCAAAGTGTCCATAGTCATCAACATTGTGTTGAGGCTTTTGGCAGACCACACTGACCAGACAACAGTCAAACATCTCCTCAAAACCACTGTGCATTCAGGGTCATCCCCTCTGCCAGCAGCTCACTGTGCCTTGATGAATGTGGAAACTTGCTCAAATTAAGAGCCTTTATGTTTGAATCGCTCTCTGTTGATACAAGCTCTGATAAGACATTTTCTGACTTACTGACAAGACAAAAAATGTGCTTTTTATTGTGACTTCTGTTCAGATCCAAAAGAAGCCAGTCACTGGAACAGACCCAAAAGTCAAACAATAACTGAGCGTGTGACATTGAGGTAACTTCTTGTTTTAAAAAGACCTGGCATTTCTAACAGTCCATCACTAAACCAATCAACGGAATGTATAAGCACTCTGCTGTCATTATGGTCTGATGATCACAAAACCATGGAAAAATGTACAGGTGGGTTACCAGGAATGAATTTCATTTTTAACACATCTTAGGACAAGGCTTGAAACCATGACAGCAAAACATTTCCTGCTAAATGTGCAAGTCAACAAAAGAAGGCAGAACTAAACTTATTTAAACTGAAAAAACAATACTGTTTTTGAGTCAGGAGCATCGAACATTCTATAACAAAAGTGAAAGTGTAAGAAGCTCTCAGTACAGTGAATATCAACATGAATGGAAGAGAGAAAAATATTTTACCTTGAGTTTTGATGCCAAATGGAGGCAGGTAGTTTTTGATTTTTGTGTGTTGTTTGAAGTTCCGGTCAAGGAACATGGGTGCTTTTTTCACAAACCTGCAAGGAAAAAAGGAGGAAAACCCCATTACTACAGATATAAACTACAAATAATGACATTTTAAAATACAAACTTAGAAAACCTTAAGAATAATAAGTCTGTTGTGCACTCTCACTACACTAAAGTTTTTTTTTTTTTTATCTGTACAACACCTACAGAGTGGTGTTAATCACAAACGGTGGGATTCATAAAGTACCAGATAAAATTTCAGTTCAACATACAAATAGTCAAGGAATACAGCATTCCTGCACCCATGCAGAATGTTTTTGTGTGAAGCTATGTGCAGATGTTTTTCTTTAATTTTATTTTTGCCAAGCAATATAGAACAGTAGCATTAATCACTACCTCTGAAGTCTCCTGTTTTGGGAACATTAAGGTAAAGGTCTGCAACCTTTACAATCCAAAGAGCAATTTGTACATTCTGTCCAGTTAAATAAAATAAATTTAGAGCTGTTAAAAAAACAAACAAACAAACAAACAAAAAAAACCTCTGCCAGAAAAAAGCATAGATACATTTTAACATTTTCTTCTATGGAAAATGATGCAAAGAAAGTGAGCAATTTCTAACATAAAGACAAGCAAAATACATCTAAGATAACAATTGTCTTGTACTAAATTTAAACTAGGATACATTATGAATCCCATTATTTTATAAGCAATATAATCAATTGTTGCCTTTCTGTTATAAATGTAGGGAAAGAGATTTAATAAGCAATTAGATTAGTTTTTAGTTTCGGTGTTAGCTGTGATACCATTATATTCAAAATTATGTTGAGATCTTGTCATCCTGATTCATTCCCATTATAAAACAGGATGCTTATAAACAGAAAAGTACAGCAGGACCTTTGTTGTCCTGCGATTGTGTGGCAGTAAATCCACAGAGAACCTTGGACTCAGCCACCAGTCCACAACCTTCTTGATCTTAAATTAGATTAGGAGGTAAAATGGTTTTTACTCCATACAGAAACCAAATCAATTAAAAATAAGCTCAGTGAATTTTAAAAGTCCATCTGCCACCAGTGATTTTGTTGTTCCAGGACTAACTTCTTCCAGAAAAACCTCTTCCTTACCCCTTGCCTTTATGGCATTTCTTTTTAAACAGTAGCTTCAAAATCAAAAGAATCCATTTCCTCCCAGTTTCGCCTATGACCCAAATGCTGGACTGTGTGTCACTTCTACAAGTGTGACTTCAGGATGGATGTGTGTTTATGACCTGCTATGAGGACCGGAAGTTTGTCAGAAGAGTGAAAAGGAGGGAATATGCTAAAATTTTGTTGTGTTTTTATTCCTAGGTTTAGAAATAGAATTTATAGTAGGGGTGCATTGAGAAACTGGCTGTTGACCGCAATCAACTGATTGTATGCTTCATTAGTTATGCTTCCATCCAATTGTTAACTGAAACCTTTAAATGCTGCAAAAGAGAGAAAAAGAGAAAATGCTAATTAGGCATGTTTAAATCTACTGGTTGGAGCAAATCAACCAGGCTGTGCAAAGTGTCAAACGTTGACACTATGTATGGCTGTAATAAACAAGATGTAAAGGTTGCAATATGACATGAGTCACATATTAGACTAGTGTGTAGAAAAGTAGAGTGTTTCCTTCCTTCTGAGCTGGATGTTTGAACCTCAGAAATTCGTCAGACTTTCATTAGGCACAGACCCACCAGTGTAAAGGAGCATTGCTATGTCAGAACTTATTCTGTAAATGTGTTTCCATCTCCTCTCACAGCTACTGGCTGAGTGTTTTTTTGTCTTTTAAATCTGTGAACACCCAATACCTGAGAGCTAACGGAAGTTTAAACTTCACCACTCATTGGTGCAGAAGTTATTACCAAATGAGCCATTTTAATATTCTAAAATATAAATCTAAATTATTTTCTATGAATAATTTCATAGAAAATTATTCCATGAATAATTTTCATAGAATAATTGAAAATTATTCTATGATTTCAGAATAAAATCATAGACACTTTCAGATTCTTTCTGAAAGTGTCAAAGAATCTGACACTTTCACCATCTGAAAGTGTCAGATGGTGACACTTTCAGCAGAAAGATTAACTTATCTCCTCTGCTTCTTATATAAAATACTAGTCATTCATAACAGAAATACAGGACTGCAGAAAGGCCTGTAATGGACCTTCTGAAATCAGAACTTTCTGACTCAGAAGGTTCTGATTCCATTATTTATTTCAGAAGGTTCTGACCTGTCTGGGGAAAAATGGCT